TTGATTCAAACATCTATACAGAAGATTATGTGAAAAAAATAAATATCTATTTTGTATCTGTTTCAGAAAGCGACGAACTTGGCTCTGACAAAGCAAATAAAAATATTACCAATGAACACCAGAAAGATATGCAGTTCAGCAAAATAAATCCAGAGTTGCATCCATCGAACCAATACAGTCAACATATTGGTATTTACAAGTAAAACGAAATGTATCTCGCATACTGATGTTTACTTTCTACTCTTGCATTGCCTGTTAACATCAAATTATCCAAACTTTTGTTAATAAAATATAGCTCATCTATTTGTTTGAACGTCAACTCATTCTGACCAAAGCTTTTTTCATCTTTTTCAAATTTACTATCTTTAACAATCCAGTTTGTTAATCCATCATGTTTACGTAGAGATTCAAATTCTGGTGGCCAATCAAGATTTTTTTCCTTTTTCATATTTGATTTATTGTAAATAGCAAAATCTGTTCTGAGTTCTGCTCTACATTTTGCATATGAAAAATAAGGATATGATTGCAAGATAAGACTCAAAAAGACATATTTCTCACTATTTGAGTTTTGACAGAGATAAGCTAGATTCTCAAAATCAGAACAGTTTATGGTGTAATGAGAACACAGGTAAACTGCATCAATTTGACTTGTACAAATTGAACAAATCCATTTTATTAGCCCATAGCTTAACTGAGACGTATCTCGATTTCCATTACTTTGTGGTAACATTATGGGTGAACCATCATTATGCTGGCATTTTAAAGAAATATAATTTCTTAATTGGTTGAACGGTGCTAGGATGAAATGATAGTTCTTATAAATCAAGGTTGGTTTCTTTATGCGTAATCTAATTGCGAGTAAACCAAGGGCTTGTTCATGGAGAGTGTTTGAATAGAGAGTAAAATTGAACAAATCTTTCAATGTTGTTATTTTATTCAATTCTGTAAGGTAGTAAAATAAATCTGATAGATTAACAATATCACGAAGAAATTTGGAAATTGTTTCTTTATTGTATTCTTTATTGAACTCATTGAGGAAAATCAACTTTCCATTCACAATAGCATGCCCATCAACGAAAGGAAATAATCGTTCAATTTTTGTGATAAGCTCTCTGTTCAACATTGTTGATGATAGCATTCTTACATTTGGTTTTAAAGTGTTATTCCAGTAATTTATTATCGTAGAGGTTATCCTCTCGAAATGGTATGTATTTATGAAAATATCTTCTTCGTCAGTATTTTTTTTCAATTTCAAATTATAATTCAAAGTTCTGTAATTTGACAGCGGTTTGACGGAAGACATGTCATACATTGGTATGCTTGAAACATCTATCAATCTACCGTTGAATTCTATTGATCGGTGTGGTGATTCGAATATTTGTTTAACATAATGATCTGCAAACTCAACACTTTCAATTACTTTTAACAATAGAAATCTCCAATTAGTGTCGAAATGAGCTGTGCCTATTTCATTGGTATTTTCCAACTTCAAAGAGAACATCAAATTCTGATAGATGTAATAAGAAAGTGTACTATTTTTCATGTAATAAAATTTAATTTCATTGCCAAAGCAAAGTTTATTAAAATCAGTGAGTGACCCATGAGCTTGTTCAAGCGAAACATCAGTGACATTGGTGAAACTGTGATTACCTGCTTGATTACTTTGTTTCCTTTTTTTCTGTTCACTCTTGTAGTATTCATCTGAGAATACATTTTTTACTACTGGCATATACAAAATGGTATAAACTTCTGGAGTCCATTTGCTCAATATTTTCCTAGCAACATTTTCATTCACAACTTTGCATTTTGCTAAATCTGAATCGATCTGACAAGCACCAGAATCAATCAATTTATCTAGATTATAATAAATTGCATTTGATTTTGTGATATTTTTAAATCCAATACCGGATAAACTGATAACCTCTTTTTGAAACACCGATATACTTTCACTGTTAGTTCTATCTATGTTCTTGTACTGTAAAAAACGTCCATTCTCTAGGATAGATAATATAGCACGAAACCTATTAATTTGTGTATCAGTGTAGATAGTTTTGTTTTTGAACTCCCGTAGTGTTATACTCATTATGTCTACAGACGATTTACTATATTCAGAAAGATTTTGTGAAAATCTGCAAACATTCATGTTTAAAACAAACGGAAGGTTCAAAATCCAAGAGATCATCCAGCAATTGGTTACCTTCAATGAATCAAATATTCTTAAAACAATACTGCTTGACCCACACAATGTAAACGCGCGCAACTGTATCCGACAGATTGTGAGTACAGGAGGGTCTCGCGTTCCACCCAGATTCTATGAAAGATTGGTTACCATTCTCACATCTGAAATTTGTATATTCAGTTGTAACAATTTACAGACAGAATCAGCAACCCTGAAAATCAACTATAAACCATTTCAAAATGCTATGCCAGTAACAACAAATTATATGACAACATTGAAACAACAAATTGCTGATGATCTCAGTAAGGTAAACACACGATCTTACTCGTTGTATACAAAGTATCGAGGTGTTGATCAAATTTATTCTGATTCAAATTCAATTGGAATAACTCTTGATACAAATATTATCACAGCAATTGTTAACGCTGAAATTCAGTTGAATAAGTACTTGTTAGATAATGCTAGCTATGCCAATATGTCAGTTTCAAGTTTTGTTAAAACAAAAAATGAGCTTTCATCCTTGGAAAACAGTGCAGTAGTTTCCAGTAACAGTAATGGTTTCAGTAAAGATTTAATTTTACCAACAATTACAGATATCGATTATATTGTCGATACTGATGAAGAAACTGATGAAACCGTAATCAAGAGACCTAAAGGCAAACAGAAAAAATGAAATATCAAGCTTTCAACGATTAAAAATTGTACTGATTTCAATGTCAGCATGCTATCAAGGCAATATTAATTACTGCATCGAGAAGCACTTCTTTTTTACATTGACTGCGAGCGTGATCTTGAGCGTTTTCTGGCTCCTCGAGGGACAGGGCTTCGACTTCGTCTTCTGATTGGCGATCGAGAAGACGATCTTCTACCTTTTGATGAAAATCTTTTAGATGGAGATCTAGACCTAGATCGCGATCTTGGTCTTCTAACATTCGGTTTGTTCCGCGTGCGTCGTCGACGTACCATGTTAATTTATTGATTATAATTTAATACAATATCCAATTACAATCAACAAAATATTGTTTATTTTTGAAACTATTAGCTCTATTATAATACTTGTATACAAACTTACTGTTATTCGTTATTCTATATAAAAAGTTTGGTTCCCAGTCACTCTCTATTATATGAATATCACTATCGTTGATGATGCTATCTTCCCTATTTTCCCTGTTTCCTGGTGATAGTACTTCTATACTTAGCACGGAGAAACATGCATTTGGTAGCCATTCTTTAAGGTTTAGCAAAAGATCTCTTTTTATCTGTTTGTCATGGGTATGTGATGAGCCAAGTGCTGCATTTATTATTTTATAAGCACAAATTTCAACTTTATTACAAAGCCAAACAAAATCCTCATCAAAATGGTAATGTAAATATCTATTAAATTTAGCACAAGTACAATTTTGTCTCACTTCATCTAGATTACAGTCGTAAACTAGAGGAACTTCTTCAGAATTATAGTAATCATTGTATTTTGATATAAGTAGCTGATTGAAAATTTTTGGTAAAACATCATAATTATCAGTGATATACTCTGTTATCAGTGATACAAATTGTGTGAACTGTTCTTGTTTAATTGACACTTGCATGTTAGTGAGCGATTATAATGTTATCCAATGTATTGAATGAGAAGCCTATTGATACCTCTGAAAATCATGAAACTGTCGCTATATCTACGATAAATACACAAAAAACAGTTGGAAAAAAGCAATCAGCTAGTAAACCGTTTACTTCTACTAATAACGCAATAGATTCTCAACCTATTGTTGCCACTGTTGATAAGGATTCATATTCACGAACGACAAACACGGTACAGGAGAAATGTCATGTTGATGGAAACAAATCCTGCAACATAATAAGTATGAAACGTTCACGAAAACACAGTATTATGAAAAAAAAACTCAAACAAAAAAAATATCTTATAAAGTTGAACAAAAAGCAAATCAGAGTTCTTTACCAAACCATGAGTAAACCTAGTCACGCTGCACCAGCAAAACAACCTTCAGCTCACGAAGCATATAGAACTAAGTTTCTTACTTTTCATCCTCTTATCACACATGTAGTCATTACATTTTTAGTTAACAAGGCTGTTTCTTTGTTGGCAAATAAATATTCTTTTTTGTAATATAGACCTGATTGTATGTTTCCAACATGGCTTTCATGATTCAGAAAACAGCCAATTATTTAACGAAAAATGCCAATACGAATAACAATATTTTACCGTATCAAGATCAGCAACAACTTGAAAACCAACAAACAGTCTTGGGATCAGCAAAAATAGCAGAATCATCTCATCAGCCCTCCTCGCCTACCAAATCACCGTCACACTCACACCCCGAAAATAAGCTCATAAATCAAATTGACCAATTCATAACAGATCCACGGTTAACTGGTGTTGAACATATTGCACAAAATGCATTAGAGAAAATAGATGATAAAATAATAGAAAAAATTGAAAAAGATACTAATTCAAACTGTAAACATAGGTTCTTGTTATGTTTCCATAAAATGATAGTCGGTTTAAAGATTTCTCTTAGCTTATGCCTCGTTGTTTTTACAATTTTCATGTTCTATAAACTTTTTACCGATGAAGATGGAAAAGTTAATGGTAATGCCTACAACTCAACAAGTTTCTATCAGTTAATCAGAAACAATTTTCCGATAGACGGAGTTAAATTATTAGAGTTTTTAAATAACCTACAAAAACAATTGAACATAACAATTGTTCAACATGATCAGGGTATAGTTGGAAATACAACTTTGTTAATAGAATAATGTAATGACTTAGCACTTAAATTCAAATCAAGTATCTTATTATTATCGTGTTTAAATTAGGTTTTTTATTTGGGGAAAAGCTTCTACATCCAATACATTTACAATTTCAATGTAGGTAGTAGTCGCTCCAATATCTGGACTTTCATCGATACTTTGCATTGCTCTAGTCCCTTCGACGATATATTTGTGTTCTGCTGGATATTTTCGCTGAAATTTTTTCAAAGCTGGAAGAGGACGTTCCCCACTGTAAGCAATCAGCGGACCATGAGTTTCCAACGGCATAATAGATAAATTATCTGTCATCCAAAAAAGTAAACTTTGCAAAAGAATGTTATTGAAAACTTCCATCTCTTCATATGTTTTTGGATTAGGTATAAATTTTGGAGGTTCTTGATAGCAATAATGAAATGAAATAAAATTCGAAATAAACAATGATTGGCTGTAATATAAGTATCTTAAATCAGATAGAAATATAACCTCTCCTTGTAACTTTTTTTCAATAGTTTCAACAAGCAGTTCATTAAGAGCTTGTCGCAAAGATGTACGTTTAATGTAAGGAACGTAGAACTCATACAGCGTTTCTTTGAGACACACTAAATGACAGTCGTCCGCATCGTGGCCACTCTGTGATTTCAATATCTGTTCCAAGCCAATTGTAGTATGATTGTTGGTAGTGACAAACCGTATCCACACATATTGTTCATTTTTGTAAAGAAATGTTGAACTTATTTTTGGCTGGATTGCTTCAAACTCTCTGTACTTATTCTTTCTGCATCTAACCGATCAACTGAACGAAATTGTTTATGTTTAACACTATCCAATGATTGTTGGATTGTCCTTGATGTTAACTTTGAAACTAAATGTATCCCTAAAGAGATGGTTCAAATGAGTTGAAATCAGATTTAGACCGAAGCAGTTTCCATAGGTATTTTTTAACTTTATATTTATGCTTTTCGTTTGTCAAAAGTAAACTCCACGGGGTCTCTGTATGACACTGAACCATCCAGTTGGCGAGACAAGATAATTCAAAGCTCAGTGTAACATCATTGTCGACCAGTTTTAACATCAATGAAACGAGGTAGTCTATATCCTTGACCAAATTTAACCTTGTAACTGATTGATTTGTACTTTCCATCATGAACTGCAATGTATTCAATCGATTCAATTTCTATGTATTTGCTTTCCTCACTGGATGAATTAGTCCTATTCAGCTCGGAACACTTATTTCTATGTAAATCATCAGAAATCAACCACAGTAAATATAATTTTGAATGCCGAGAGTGAAGCAAAAAAGCAGGTACAATTATCAAACCTGTGTAGTCGCAATCCATTAAAAAAATTAATTAACGATAATCAATCACTTTCATACTCAAGAAAATTTACACTTGTTTGTTGTTCACTTTTTTCTTGCGTTGAAGTTAAAATTTTCGTTATTTCATGCTCTTTTATTGCTGAAAAGTCACTTACATTCACCTCTAAATTTTCAATAACTCCAGATGATTTTTCATCTATATCCATATCATTTGAATCATAGTTATCATCATATTCTTGCCCTTCCTCATCTATCGATTGACCAGTTTGGTTAAAATTCGGCTCATCATGTTCACTTCGTGTTGGTTCATCAATATCAGCTTCAAAAGTTTTTATGTCATTATAATTAAAATCATCATTTTTCATTACAGGTCTTTCTTCAACTCCTGGTATACCAGAATTAACTGACAAAGCAGAGGAGGCTCTATAATCATCATCAGCATTAACATGCGAATGAACGACAATGTCATTCACAGTAGGTTTTGCACCTGATTTGCCTGTATCAAAGAATTCATCATTATCCGTCTCAACGCATGCATCACTTAACTCTGACTCGTTGTAAGACCAGCCATCACGATTCTTAGTTTGTTTTTCAAATCTAGCCTTTTCTGATCTCTTTTTAGCTTTTGATATATGTTCTTCGAATATATTTGAAACAGTTTTGGGCGTTTTCAAATTCAAATCTTCATGACTAAATTTTCTATTTCCACTCTGCAGTTTTATTTTAGTACTCAATTTTGTTGTATTTGCACTTTTAAAAAAACTGTTTTCCATTAAAGCATCCATCGCCAAGTCTCTAATAATATTGTAGAAACATACTTTCATAACATCATCTGGTTGACCGTCGAAAGACCCACTCGCAAGGATAGCCTCAATCTCGTTTTGCTCAATTTTAACCTTAATGTTGTCAGGTTGTATGGGTAACTTTTTTATCAAAGGGAAATAACTTCCAGCAGTGGTCAGAGTTACCTTTGTTATCATCTTTGCAAATAAAATAGGTAACGTTTTACTTAAATTGTAGTTGTAAACATTCAATAGGTTCTGCAAATCTTCATTCGATGCATTTTCAATATCAATTGATCCCATAAGTGAATTTTCTGAACAAGATTTTAGCAAGACCGAGCGTCGAAAAGCTTCTTTTGCGTCCATGCTGCTAAAGTTAATCACCTTTGCTATTTTACTTGGTATGATAATAGCAACGATTTTTTTCATACCAAGCAATGATCAGCATCTAGAATTGATGTTAGCCTCATCTGTGCCGCATGAAGCATTGACCTTGCTGAATTACCATACCGATACCGGTCTTTCTAAAGCTTTAGACTGTTCACGTAAACCTGTTGAGATAAGTGATTTTATTAGCTCTCCGACTTTACATGACTGCAGAAAACTGTGTATGAATGAAAAAGTAACCCTGATTAATGTTGGACCAGAAGAAGATGTATTCTATGAAAATGAAAAACTTGGAATTAACAAAAGTTATTGTTTTTTATCGAAAAGCGCATACGTTCACTGTAATCCACACACTACCCGAACAATATTCTCAATAAACTCACATATATGTCAAAGTAAATTTCCAAATATGTTTGGTGGTGTTAGTGGTGATCAGGTTGTTGCCTGTAATGATAAACTTATCAATGATCCAAGGAACATACTTTGGGACAACGAGTATAATAAAGCCGTTTCAGCATCAAACATTGAAATGTATGATGAAGACCAGTTAATGCCTGATAGAAAAAATTTTCGATTTACTTGTAACTACAATGGTGAAGATGAAATGGAAAATAAATACATTCCCCATCCCATCAATAGATTCAAACCTATTCGTAATTGGTGTGCATCAAAAGTTTTCCGTGCAGCAGCATCTATTCAAACACAATTCATTGGTATTGACCCAAATGATCCAACATCTTCATTATCAGATTACAAATGTGATTGTGGTGACAGACAAATAACTCGTTCGGAAAACTCAATTCCAAATGACTTTCATTCCCAATGTATACCATTCTATGTTTACACAGAAACACCTACTACAAAGAAAGCGAGAAAAACATTCAACTACACATACAATTGTTTCACATTGAATTCGCCAATATCTTTTGTCACCCAATATTTACCATGTAATAGTGATGTTTTTGTTTCACCACCAAACTCAGCTCCCTTGCAAACCCAAAGACTACAGTTATTTTATTCAGAAAATGTTACAAATGCGTACATTGAACACCCTAAATATGAAGATTTCACTTCTCCTGAATCGCAAAACTTCATAAATAAAGTTCTCTTTGGAGTCAACATTTTTAAATAAAGATATTTATTAAATTATTTATGTAAACACTAGTCTTTGAACAGTAAATCTATTCACTCGCATCTTTGCTTGTGATAACAAAGCTGTGAGATTCATGTTCGCACGAAAAAAACGCAATGCTGTCTTGTTGATTATTTTCAAACTTTTTGGAACATAATCATGTAACATAAAATTCAACAACAATCTCAGCAAAATCGATGAGTGGCATCTTGGTTTTTTAGCTGTTATACATTCACCCGTTTTTATGAAAGTGAGGTAAGCTTGTATGCGATCCGTGTACATATCAATATCATTTTTTGTCACACACGGTCTGTTGGCTTCGTCAAATCCCATTCTAGGTACATACATTTGTAAGGAACATTTTGTTAAACATGCTAAATACAAGTATATCCATATTATCTCCAGAATTGATTTGGATTCATCGTTCAACAAATCTGTATAAGATCCTAATTCAAGTTGAATGAGAATATTTTTTATCATGGTACGAGTTAAAATTGCATCCGTATAATCAGTACCAGAAATGGCGAATAAAACTCTAGCTGACCTAGTCTTTAGTTTAGCTATTTTCTCAGATGCATCCATTCCATAAATTAAAAGTTGAGTTAAATTTTCTTTGATCAGTTTATTTGGTCGTACCCAGACACATGAATCAGACATTGGTGGAAAGTTTGTTCTAACATTTTATCCAATACTAACAGTTTTGATGTTGAGAAATTCACGAGAATCTCCTCATTCTCATTGACAACAGAATGAGTTTCGTTACAACTTGGTAAATGATCGTAACATATCGATATCATATCACTGTCTGCAGTGACAAACACAGAATTAGTTGTTTTATCACGTTTCAGATACATCCAAAGTTCACAATCTCCTTCAGCTAGTTGTATGACGGTTGAACCTGACTTTTCCAGCAAGTTTTTAAACATTTTTACAATATGTTCTTCTCTTTCCTTGCTCATTTTGTCATTTGAGATACGTTGAATCTTTTCCGGCGCCCGTTTCCCATCAAAATATACCAAACTTTTATTGAATTTTGCATTTTGGCTTTCAAAGTAAACCTTAATTCGCGAAACAAGTGAATTGGTATAGTTACACGCGGTAGCTGCTATTTGATAATCAATACCTTGGTTTGCAGTTATATGTCCACGTCTCCATAACCAGTTACCATCTAGACAGATGTTGTAAGCACAATCAGAGTTTCCATTGTATCGACCTACCATTTTCGGAAGAAATTGACAACATTCTTTTATGGTCATTCTCATTTGCAACTTGGCAGTTATCGTAGTTTTATAATATAACATATAATAGAAAAATCAGCGGTGTATAATGGCCAATATAATTTGCACAGCGTCACTTTTTTCAAATGGTAATGGTATGAATGGAGATTCTCCTGTTGGGTATTCACAGTCTAGAACGTGTATCTACAAAGGTGTTGGTAAATGTGATGAATTTGAAGCCTTATTTATATGCAATTATCATGCTCACTGGTTTGACCTTTACAACTATTATCGAAATTTCATGAATGGAGCAAATGATAGTTGGTCTAGAACAGAAACATATGCTACGAACAATTCAAATTTATGGATTCCACTTTTCGTTGACAGCACTGGTAAAATTATCGTGGAAGAGATCAGAGCATTTGCTCATAAAATATCGAAAATGATTCTATGGTTAAATTTGATGATGTTGAAAGACGTACGAGAGAACTGGTTGGATTGACAACTTCGGATTACTTAAATTACCAGATATCATTTTCCAATTGTTGGTTGAATAAATCTACAACTAGAATTATCGTTCGGAAAGAAGATGGAAGTTTTGATTCAGTTTTGAGTTGTAAACTACCCGCATTACACAAATTTCTATTTTACCATATTTATCCTTCAACAGTTTTGAAAAAAAATGATGCAGTCAGTGAGCCATCACACTTGCCTTCTACTTCGTCTAAATCTGATGATTCATCCAGTTCACAATATCGTATATCTTCTTTTAAGACTGAAAAAATGATTTTAACATATAGAGAGGAAAATCACAGGTATGGTTTCACACTCATGAATAAACATACATTACTTAAAGCAGTTGATCCATCTAATCCTAGATATGTGCTTACTCCTCTTGTTCTAGCTGCTCATGAGTTCTGTGACAATGATACTTGTTTAGAGACAACTTTCATTAAAAGTCGAGTGAACAATTCTTTTGCAAATTGTTAATCATTGTCAGATAAAGTTTTTGCTATGTGTGCGTATACCCGTGCATCACGAAATGTTATATTCGGAAAATAATCTGTATAACATAAAACATCTAATAATTGGTGGCTCATGTTCACCATATGAGTGTATCCTTGGGCATTACATCTTTCAAGTTCTGTGAAAAGTAAATTTTTTTTAACTCTATCAGTATAATATTTTATTTTAGGGACCTTCACATTTGACAAAATAGAATGATTAATGGCTGTATCATTAAGCTTTGGTTTATGATTATAGTTCTTTATTAAACAATTCTTTTCAATTTCCATGATGTCTACTCCAACCAATAAAGATATAACTAAATCAAGGTATTTTTATGTTCTTTGTGAAAATTTGGCATACGAAAAAAGCAACAATGAAGCTACGGAGAAAAGGAAACAAGTAAGAGCAAACAATTATTTCAAAATGCGAAATAACTTGTATTGTTGCAGAGTTTCAAAAAGTAACTCAAGATTTGGGTTCTATGATTCTGAAGTGTACCCTATTCTGAGAACCTTAGCAATCATGTTTGTTTTCCAAGTTTATCCAAAAAATTTGAATTCAAACTATTACTTGGCTAATATTTATACAGATGAATATAAGAGTACTACTTATCACAAGCTTTATTTACCAGATCTTCAATTGAGAGAGTTAGTTAAATTATATGATTGTTTACTGGGCAAAGGATGTTCACGCTTATTTGTAAAATCAGTCGCTAGAGTATACAAAGAATATTTAGGAGTTTGGCGATACTTTGATGTTGGGTACAAAATCCGGCAGCCAACTAGATCCGAGGTGATGAATCTTATTCGTTTCTGGCAAATCGAAAACCACAAACATTCGCCTCTAGTATTGAAATTTATTAATAAATAGTAGTTATAGTAGCAGTATTAGGCTATCGTTTGGATTTCCAAGAAGGATGGCTATATCTTTAGAAAGCTGGTCTGGAATTAAAGCAACATTGAATCGTTATTACAAACCGGATAAAATGAAGCTATACCCGATTGAGGGTTATTATAAGATAATGGAACAAATAATTTATGAAATGATAAAAGGTCGTGTAAGCCGTTTCATTTCTACCCGTTCAAAGACCGATCAAAAGCTGAAAATTGTATTCACTAAAGCTAAATGTTTCAAACCTATCACCTGCCTAAAAAAGGAAAATTGTATAATTGTATCTAAACCAATAGTGGAAAAATATTTATCATGGAAAGCAAAAATTCTAAACAATAACAATAGGTTACAACTCACTAATAGCGTATCAATTGAAGATTTTTCTTTCGCAGCGTCATCTGAGAGTTCAGATGAATCGAGTATGCTGAATTTGAGAGAAGATCGTAATTTAGCCTTCATTAAACTAGTGAAAATTATTTTGTTGGTTCGGCATTGGTATTATACAGAGTTTTGCGGTAAGAAAATTTGCCCACTTAAAATGTCTGATATAGTATGAAATCTTGTTTGTTTTCTTTGGCTTTAGTTGTAGCATGAAGTGAAAGTATGAAAATGAAGAAAATAACAGTTAACATTGATATAAAAAATGTAATTATTTGAGTTAATAAGATGAAAACTTTATTATCCATATTAATGTAAAAAGAATGTACTTCTATACTTCAAGTTTTTAATTAATAAATGTTTTGTAATAAAATGCCAGAATGGTGGTAATTTGTATGCACCCAGAAAACTGTGAGTATAAGACCAATTATAAGCATCAAGCTTACGCAAAGCAAGAATATTGACACTAAATAAGATTTCGCTTTTTTTAATACATATGGTGAATTTTTATTTTGCTTTGTAATTGCTTCTTTTTCAGCTTTAGTCGTGATAATATATGCTGGTGTGGTTATTTCTGTTGTGATTGTTTCCGTTGTCGTTGTTTCTTCTACCTTTGTTGTTAGCATTGTCATAACAGGTGAACTGGTGTACTGAAAATGATAAGTAGAAAAAACATCAACGTACAACAGATTTGGTAGATTTTGCATAAACAGAAGGCATGATCTGTTGAAGTTAGGATTGTGACTTATGAAAAGGGCTTTTAAAGCACTATTTCGTGACAATGTATCCGGGTGTATAGAAATAATTTTGTTGTAAGATAAATCCAAAAATTTCAACATAAATAATTTAGAAAAAGCTCCAGCAGAAACTCGTGATATCATATTATGGCTCAAGTTTATATTTTCCAAAAGACGTATATGTCTGAATGCTTTAAAACCAATATACGTCAAATTGTTATAACTCGCATCCAAATGTGTTATTCCAGAATATTGTTCGTTTTTAAATCGTGGTAGTTGTGTTAACTGTTGTGAAGAACAGTTGGCCAAATCAAATGGCAAATCATGATGGTTTTTATATTTCACGGCAAGATGAACACTACTCATATCTAATAAACATGCTTTTACTATTGCTGTAACCACTAGTATCAAAGTGACAAGTCTCGTTAATTTAATAGAACAGTTTGAGTAAATATGAAAACATTGAAACGAGAACATTTTGCATGAAATTCAAGAAATGTTTTATGGTCTGCCGTAGCGTAAGTTTGGTTTTTATTAAACTTTTCAAAGTAAAATGTAGCACTATTTTGCTTTGTTTTTTCTGTCTATTATTAGATTTATCACTTGCAAATGAATCTGAATAATTTACAACACTATTTTCTTGTTTTTTACATTTATTATCATACTTTTCGATATCACAAAATTGTTCCTTTATCGATCCCTGATCAGATGTATCATGTGTATCTGTTAGGTTTAAAATTGGTGACATTGGGCTTATCGTTGTTGATGG